GGTGTTTTCTTTCTTAATGACAGCATGACAAGTTGGCTTACATTCATCTGTTCCACTCTGTGGACCTAGGGCCACCTTCTTAGGAACAGTTAGCCTGACTGTACTTTTTGAATTTGATTATTTCTGCCTAAGCATATTAATTACCTTTGTTTTGAATAATGGTTTTAGCCCATTTTTCCAATTTAAGAGATTTTTTTTCTTAATTACAGTGTTGTCCATCATACCTGCAGCCCTTCTAGATGTGTCACGGAAACATTAAAAGCAGAGTCATTACATTTCTTTCTGGAAGTGTATTGTTGCCTTGTGGAGTGTTCACAAAATCCCCTAAATCCCTAAATATTTTGAAATACTGTAATTGCTGTAAATGTTTCTGAGACACTGCTGTGTATCCTATAGGACATTCAAAGAAGTGAATCCAGTTGTTTTAAAATTTAGGCTAACAGCTGGACCACCTTTCTAAAAGTCAGCATATACTCTTTGTACCTTGAGGTGATGATGGTGTCCAGGTTGATTTGTCATAAGCTGATTTTCCCCCAGTCTTTCCATCCTCTAAATATCTATGGGCCTGTTAAGGAAGGAGATTTGTTTATTCTTATTGAATTTGTTCATTGTATGAAGTCAAGCATGCATGTGTAACTTTATGAAAGTGTGGCCTAGCACTGTAAGTTTCTTTACCTACTCCTAATAAATAAAACTAAAAAAGAAGACTATAATCACAATTTGGGAAGGATTATACACTGATCAAAGTAAAAGCAGCAGCTCCATTAAAATTTGTAGATTGAAGAGGCTGAAGAAAATATGGTCTGGCCTAATGAGAAAGAAAATTATTTTTTAGCCCCCCAATTATTTCTCAAGGTTACCATCTCATATTTCCCTTAATATTTTCCAGGAGATGTGTATACCTTCTCTCTGTCAGTATTCCCAAATACACATATTTGTACAGAGAAATATCCTTCCTCAGTGCAAAAAGTTAGGGTTTTCCCAGTGCTTTTTCTTAAAGACTAGGCTGTGGAGTTGGCATTTGTTTCACAAGCTTTTGATCCTAGGGTGGCTTGCATCCAGTGTGTGCAGAGCATTGGATATTGTGTCCCTAATTTCGTGGGATATTCTGAGTTGGAAGGGACCTACAAGGATCATCGATTCCAACTCTTAAGTGAATGGCCCATACAGGGATCAAACCCATAATCCTGGTGTTATTAGCACCATGCTCTAACCAACTGAGCTAATCTCAGGGTCATGAAGTAGCTGTTCGGGCACTGCTCAGTAGGAGACTCTCTCATGTTCTGGAACAGCAGCTTTAAAGTCTGTCGGATTTTCCTGGGTAGGTCTTTGGGGAGAGAGGCTGAAGAGTTCCTAAGAATCAGGAACTGTTTTCTCTCCTTTCACTGCAGTGGGTTTGCAGTGAAAATCAGTGATAGGTTTTTTGTTTTTTGTCCCAGAGCTACTTAGGCTGCACCATCATTTCACAGCAACATAATACTGTAAAATATGGTGTGTAATTGCTCATTTCAAAGTGTTGTCTTATAGCACTGTAGATCAGGAGAATGTCCTCTGAAAATGGTGGAATTATTCTCATTTTACTCAGTGAGAATATAATTAAAGAGACAGGAAGGCAATGAAATGTAGCAGTAATTAAATACAACTAAAGACAGAAATGTTTCAATCTTTCCTTGCTTAAAAGAAAGCTGGATGATGTAGGTTTATGGTCCATGTGTGAAGCAGTCCAGCTCCGGGGAGGTGCCCAGAAGCATGACTTACTATGGCAAGCTTCAGGCAAACCGGATGTCCTATATCATCAGCTGTACTTTAAAATACAAAGAAGAATCCCAGAGGCAAGAGAAACCAAAGAAAAGAGTCAGAGGTTCAACTGGATAACAGTTGCAGACTGAAGTCTGCTAGAAAGAGTCTGAATCATCTCAGAAACTTCTTTGGAACGGAAGGGGCTTTGCAACAACTTGGAAGAGTGATACAGTCTTAGGTCTTATCTACTGTTGGGCTTTACAAGACCTAAGTGTTTCTCCCCAGGCAAGGTGGGGCAGCTTTGCATCTGCTACCCTGTCCCCTGATTTGGTAGCTTGAAGAGACTGGCAGGTCATTTTCTAAAACTGCCCATCAATCATCAAGACAGAGCAGAACATTAGAATCAGTAATGTAACATGAAAGGAGTCATGGGAAGCATCAACAATTGCTGTTAAGCAGAGCAAATGATAGTAATATTCAGAGGATAAAGCTGAAGTAGCACTGAACCTTTAGGCAGTTTTAGGAAGCTAATCAGTTGTGTAGGGAGAATATCTATGCAAAAGTTTTTAAAAGTATTCTAGAACTCCTCAACCTTATTGAAGCAGGAGCTTGGCTCACTTGGAGAGAACAGATTATTATTTAGGCATTTTATAGAATTGTCTGTCTTCTATTGCTTCTCACACATAAGTCTCGAAGTGTGTTATAGTGTGGTCAATAGCATTGTTCCTTCTGCACTGAAGGGCCAAATAAGCACTCAGGGTTGGTAATTTGCCTGGAGTTACCCAAAAGCAGAGCAGAGTACTCCAGAGTGCCTGTTCTGTACATTATTTGCTCTGTCAATGTTTCCTGAGAAAAATCCACCCGGGGAAGGTTGGTGCAGTATATTAGCACGAACAGAGATCGCATGAAAGAGTTTAACACCTCAAATTGACAAAGGCAAAGCAGGAGAACAGAGGGATGCATTAATTTTCTTCTAGTCTCACAGCAGGTTAGCAGGAGAAACACGACTCCAAGCCAGGTGCCTTGCTTTGCTGACAAGCAGCCCACCCCCACGCCAGACTGGCTCAGACAGGGTCTGTGGTCACACTCTCTCCTCCTGAGATGACATCCTATTTTCACCTGGAGGTAGAAGAGAGAACTGTTAATATGAGATACATTTATTTTGCACAAGAGAGAAGTTCTACAAACAGAAAACTCTCTGACAAAGGAGAACAAAATAAGAAGAGAATTTAGAAATGCTGTACTGTGTATTTCACATTTGGCAACTTCAGAGTTAAAACAATTTTGCATGTGCCCTTTTGAAAGCATGAGGCTGCATGCATGAAGAAAGCACCCATTTCCCTTATGTTTTGAGCAGGGAGCCATATGTTTCAAAAGCAGAAAAAGAACAGTTAGCCTTGAAGCATTAAATCTGCCCATCTAGGTAGCTGACTAGCTTTCTCACAGAGATGAATGTCCCAGAACAAAGCTGAGGAAACAAAGCTTAGAAGTGTAAATATTAGTAGGTGCGCGGGGACATAAATTAGAAAATTTGACAATTTTAATTACTTGCATTTATTTTCATCTGCTGAGTTCCCTGGCTGACATCAGAAACTACATCTGTTGGGTTGCTAGCAGAGTAGGCAGAGGGGTTGGGGACAGGATAGTCTCAGTTCCCATGTTGACAGTAGAATCTTCACTGACAGCATATTCATGGCTAGGCTTCGCAAACGAAGATTTGGGAAGGCTCTATCCAGATTTGTTACAAGCACACTGGTGGCAAATAGGGCCAATGCAAGCTAGACATGTCCGATTGCAAAAGGCACAGCAGAAAGACTCCTTAGGTGGTATATTCTGCAAGGCACGGTTCTTTCTGCGTTGAATATTATCTGATGTAAAAAAACCCCTAATAGAAACAGGAGTTTCCTGCTATCTCCCACAAACATGGAAAGTACCATGTAGGGTTAGCTGTCAGCTCAGCAGGAGCTTCCAGGCGTCTGGACTCTTAAATCACAACATCATCACAGTCACCTCTGGATTCCCTGATTGAGGTTTTCCTATTTTACTTGGTAGGGTTATGGATGGAAGGAGGATTAAATGATAAAGTGAATCATATGACAGTGTGTCAACACCTACACAATGAAAAAAAAGAGTGACAGGAGGAGACCTTTTTATTTTAAGGGATTGTGTGGAATAGAAAAACACAGATATAGGGCATTATGGTTCCTCACACTGTTCTTAGTTGCATAAGGTTTGTGTGTTGTGTTTGTTTTGACTATGACATCCTTGGGGTAAGGACTGTGGGTTTTTTAGATCACCTAGGACAACACTGCCCTGGTCTGTGTGTAGTCCTGGAATGAAAACATTAATAATGACTGTTTTGCATGGCAGAGGCTATGGCAGGCTATATTTTCAAAGAGGTACAATTTGTCTGATTTAATTTAGCTTTCAATGTCCATTTCAGTCTGGTATTTTTGTGCCTGACTGCAATCACAGAGCAAGAGGTGACAATCCGTGGCCTCATTGATATCAATCCCTGGACAGCATCTAGCCATTTAACAGATAAACGCAAAACCTATAAACCAGTGTGATGAACCATCTGCTGTGCCTTTCCTACTGTTCCTTCTACTGTTTTGCAAATACAAATCTACGAATTCTAACAGAATGTCAGTCTTCAACTCTGCTGCATGTATGAGAAGGGAAATAAGAAATAGGAGCATTAGCACTCTTTTTCCATGACATTTATTAGTTTATAGCGTTGTTTCTTACATCTGTTTTTCTTTGATTCCTCTATAAAATGGCCACAATTTACTTTTAATAGATACTTTGCTGAAAAATGGTGCTTCACCATTTCACTAACCTGCTTTCAGATAGTTGTAATTTCACTTTTATTTTGTGCTTTTTATGATTTATAGCAAAGTAACAGAGAAGGAGCAACCTGGAATTTGCTTTTAATGCCAGGTACATTCCAGAAGTGTCATTTAGACAGCACTCTGAGAATACGTTATTGTGGTTGCTTTCCTATTTAATTGGGTACAAATAGAATCCAATATCTGATTTGAGAATACTTTTGTGTCAGTATAGACCATCTTCTGACTCAGTTTGGTGAGTAGACTGTGCGAGTCTCGTTGCTTGAATAGGTGAGTGTAAGAGGCTTCTGTATAAGATGCTACAGTTTGTGTTTATCATTTTAGCTGAAGAGGAAAGATGGGGAAAGTAGAATGAGGATCCACATCTGTCAGCTAATTTTTCTCCTTTTCTGAACTTTTTTTATTTTGCAGGTGATGGAAATTAAAGGACAAATGATTCATGTGCCAGAATCGAATTCAATTTTGTTTCTTGGTTCCCCATGTGTGGATAAGCTGGATGAACTGATGGGCCGCGGCCTCCATCTTTCAGACATACCTATCCATGATGCTACTCGTGATGTCATATTGGTTGGGGAACAAGCAAAGGCACAGGATGGCTTGAAAAAACGAATGGATAAGCTGAAGGCAACACTAGAATGTACACACCAAGCCCTGGAAGAGGAGAAAAAGAAGACAGTAGATCTCCTTATTTCTATTTTCCCAGAAGAAGTGGCTCAGCAATTGTGGCAGGGGCAGCAGGTTCAGGCCAGGAAGTTTGATGATGTCACCATGCTCTTCTCAGACATTGTTGGCTTCACTGCCATCTGTGCGCAGTGCACCCCCATGCAGGTCATCAGCATGCTGAATGAGCTCTACACGCGGTTTGACCATCAGTGCGGATTCCTGGACATCTACAAGGTAATAGCTCATCCTAAGTTAGCAATATCTAATGGAAACTGAGACAGGAAAAAAATCTCAGTAGCTTTCTTCCTGAATTGCAAACTTTCCCTCATATTTCATAAAAATATGAAGACAATAGTTTTGTTTTATGTGAAAAAAACCCCAAATCTTAAATGTGCCCATTGAAAATCAAATACTTTAATGTGAAACTGTCACCATGGTGCTCCCATGGGAATATGGGCCTCATATTCCCATTTTCCTACAGAAACATGCATCTCCTGTATTATAGCCTGGTTTCCTTTAGGTGACACATCAGCCACATCATCCTAAAGATGAAGAAGTGCACAGCAATGAATCTTAGCCCCTGCAGCTCCTGAGAGGCACTCAGTTTCAGCTGAAACGTGAATGGTTTAGGGTTTAGGCACTTACCTTTCTCCTGAAAGAATTAAAATTTTCCATAAAGAGCAAAGCATTCACTGAAAAAATTGTTGTAAGAAACTTCAACTTCCACTGAAAAACAAGAAGAGGACAGCAGATGTCCATACACAGCAAATGTAATGAATGGGACTTAGCACTGGTGTGCCATGCTCCTTTACTACTCTGCAGAAAAGGAGATGTCACACATGTTGGTCCTGTTACAGACCTCATCATCTTCACTTCTTTTGAGTGGATCTGGTGTCCAGTATGTATTTGAGAGAAAAAAAGAGGGGAGGTAGAATTTAATAAATGCAGTGAAAATACTATCTGTGTAACTATCCTGTGAAATCTACAGTGTGTTTTGTATATGGAATGCCTTTAATTTTGAGATGGGGGAAATAGGGCAAGTTTCTTTTTATATCTTAATGCACAAAAGAAAAAAATGTGTTGCAAAATTGTATATTGACTTTTTTTATTCTCTCTGAGGTTTGCAAACTAACAGTTTTCAAAATGTTTCATAGAGTATTTGTTGATAGGCTGTAGAGAAAAGGTCTCACAAGAGTGCTTTCCCTTTCATTTTTAGCCTCTAACACACTTTAAAAGGAATTGAAAAATAATTATTACACACTTAATAATAATCATGGCTGAAAAGTTACAATATGTACTACAGATAGAACTAAAAATGATATAGATAAAGATTGGTAGGGCAGTATACCAAAGTAAACAATTACACTGTAAATAGGTTTTGTGCTCTTGGGCTGGGGGTTTGTATTACTAATGCTCAGAAGCCAAAGACTGTGTTAGGAGAGGACTGCAAGGGAAGATACCAGCCCTCATTAGATGATTGTTACAGTGATACAGTCAAAAACAGATGGGAAGTTTGATCTCAGTTTGTATGAGTCTGATGTTGCTGCACTGGATTATGACCCAGCTCTGAGAACAGGACTCACAGAACTTCTGACCCACAGTCAGGAGTGACTCTGCTTCACATGCTGTGTGTTCACATGCTTCACATAGTCACTGTGTTCCCAGGTGATTAATGTTAGCTGTTCTGAGGTATTCAGGACATTCTTTGTTGAAAACTATGGTTGCAAGGGAATAGGATATACAGTATGCAAAACTCTATGACCAGACTGCAAGGAAGGTTGGTTGAATCCTGTGAGAACACTAAGAAGGGATATTTATGGAAGGTCATGAATATTATATCATTTAGACCATGGCTTTCTGCCTTTCACTAGTTTTGTGCTACTTTAGATAGAAGGATGTTACTTTATGAAAATACTGTCCCGACCAGTGAAAAAAGATCATTGCTGAGATAGTCAAGCTAAGATATATGCATTCCAAAAAAAGGAATAAGCACTCCCATGTTGAGACTAACATGCAAGTTTATGAGCAAAGGTATCAATAAAACCTGTTTTTCTGTGGAAGAATGGCTTACACCTCTAAAACTGTTTTTCCACTGTTACTGCCTTAATATAGGCTATTCCTTCTCAGATCCTTTCATCTTGGATTTTCCTTATCTCCTCCATGTCCCCTGAGCCTCCCCTGCTTCCCACCACAGCCCACATGTGAGCAAGGCAGCGTGCACTGTGGCTGTGTGGGGTTTTTTTCTCCGCCCCAAATCCTTTTTAGTTTGTTGTTTTTCTTTTTTAACCAGAAGTCTGAAAAAACTACTGTGTAAAAAATGAAGTGAAAGTGACTCAATTGAGTAGTACAGAAAGACAAAACTCAGGCAATGAACTCTTTTTCTTTTCCTTAGAGAATCAGGCTTAAAATAAAGTAACAATTCTTTTGGAAAAAAATTTGCATTTTAAAATGAAAATAGTTTGTGTGTTTATATCTTTTCCATTTGTTTCAGATGAAATTCTGAAAGCTAAGTGTATTGCTAGGAATGATCACCACCACAACAGCTACGATTTTAGAAATTATTGTCAGGCAGTGAATTTTAGATACATAATCACCACTCAAAGATATACTTGAGTAACTAGGCTACAGAAATTTATCATGTGACCTAAATATACATCAAAAGAGATCAATTTTCAAATTTGCTTGTTTTTAAGCAGCATGGCAAGAATAATTTGCAAAGATTATTTGATGAGTACTTCTGAATATCAAATTCACTGTTTTGTAAACAGAAAATTAAGCAAAATTCATTAAATAAATTCTATGCTGTAAATTATTTACCCAGCTTTACTGCTACAGAATTTTGAATTCAGAACCTTAGTAGTTCTAATCTTGGGCTCAGACAATGAATATAATATTTTCAAATGTCTCATGCTATTCACCCAGAGATGTTTATAGAGAAATATGACACAGAAAGAAGAACAAAGATCCTCACATTAAACAAGTCAGACATAGAGGGCAAGTAAATGAGCTGTTGGATACAGACTAAGAAATGCTTTGAGAAGGCAGAAGGGTGATGAATTAGATTTTGAATTTTTTTGTAAATGAAAGTAAGTAGCTATCACTGATGAGGTAGGGAAAGGTTGTGCATTGGATGGATGCACAGGTAAGAGTGACACATACAGATGGTGGACTCAGAAAGTGAATTTCACAGCAGCATTTTGAAAGGATACAAATCAGGACACATTACATTTGTTCAGGCTGAGGGAGAACATTGCAGTAATTGAGATGCATGGTGTTATGAGCCTGGGTGACAATTTTAGCTATGTAGAAGAATCTGTGTTTTAGAGAGTGAAACTTCAGAAGGAATCTGCTGACATACAGTCTTGATGAAAAGATCAAGAGGGACACTCTTATGGTAATCACAGAACGGAGAAGAGGTGAGAGAACTGAGACCTGGTAATGCATTTGGAAATTGGTGCTGCTGACTATCAGAGCTAATTATATTCAGCTTGGAGTTGAGGAATGGGAGAAAAAGATGCTGTCAAGCAGGGAGTGCAAGTCAAAGCAGTGTAGATGCAGACTACACTACAGGCAAGCTAGTGTCTGTGGACATGGAAGTAGAAACATGAACTCAAGGAGTAGAAGTAATGGGAGAAAGTTCTCAGTAAATTTTGAAAGCTGTTGCTTTGGGTAAAATGTGTACTGGGTGGCCTGACTGTTTTTGCCTGTTTTTTTCTGTATCTGAGTTCCTGTTGTTTATGAGCCAAGTGCTGGGAAATGATGCTTATTTGTCAAATAAGCTATTTGGATATGCTGCAGCCATGTCTGATGGCATTTAAAACTTAACCTTGCAAACTGAAATCTTCCCTGTTTAAGATTCCTGTAGCTTCTGTTTCTCATCCACATAATATATCTTTGACAGTGGTTCATTCAAAATATTTTTTCTTGTAGGCCTGTGAAGGCCTGCTTTCTCAGCTCTATTCCCTTTGGTTTCCTTTAACTACTGCATAGAGTAAAGGCAGCATGTTCTGTGGATGGTTTTTTGTCTGTGTGTCCACTGGCTGTGTGGCTTTTTGTGCTGGCTGGGTAATGTCAAGCCAAATAGAGCAGAACCAGGCCTGATACTGTAGGTGTTAGTCTCTTTGTCCTTTCTCTGAACAGGGCAGCATTTGTCCTTGAAGACATTTGCAGATTTTCCCAGACAATAAACTTCACTTTCTGTGAAGTGCTAAGTCCCACTTTCCATGTCTAAGCAGAGTCCTAAGTGTTTTTGACAATGAACTATTGTCAGCTGCCAGAATGTCTTTGCTTTGTTGTCATAACTTTAATTGAAAGTTTATTGAGTATTTATTGAATAAGACAATATAATTACATAGGTTGATTTTATAGTTAGAATCCACAATTTTGTTGTGTGAATTTCTGCTTTCTTTTTCGTTTCATTGTTTGGCTAAACTGGCACTCCTCTCTGAGGGGTGCCACATACATGCCTCCAAGTCTTTTACCAGCTTCCTTGAGCTTTTATTCCTGGCAACACAATACAGTTAGTGTGTTAGATCTTCATTTTCTGATTTTATATGTCTAACTCTGGCTACAGCCTCAATTTTTGCTCATTGTAAAGACCTGAGACTAAAACAGGATGGGAAGTCTGGACTGCTCTGCAATCATTCAAGGCTGATACTCACCAGTTTTGAAAAATGTTGTTTATATTTAGGTTGAGATATAATGCTTTTAGGAACTTGATTTTAAACTCACATTTTCTGAAAATATAACTTTACATTTTTGTACTCATCATTAAAGTTACAGAAATCTGTATTCATTTTACAGAAAATACCAGTACATTCTCAGTGCCATGACTATCCCTTCTTGAGAACTGATACATGCACATATTCATATATATGTTCTCAAGCTTACTGTTGGTACTATAATGACTAAAGAATACTGCAATGACCAGGGTCATGAGCTTCAGACTATTTGGAAGTTTTTCAGGCTTTATGTTTCATAAGTTAAAAACCATAGTCTCCAAGTTTCAATGCAAAATCTATGGCCACTATTTTTATCTTCTTTCCATCACTTCTGCAATTTTAACCTTTTAAATTCAGTGCAACTACGTGGCCATTTTGAAAAGGTTTCAAATTTCTAAACTTCAGCTCAGGCATCTGCAAAATGCAGGAAATGCAATTAAGATATGTAAAATGATAGGGGTGTTTTTACATGAGCAATATGATAGACATAAAATATTGTGATATACCTTTTCT